CTTACACAACGTTTGTAGTAGAGCACAATGGCACCCTTGGATCAAGTGGATCACTTCATTATTGGACCTTATTGGAGACCCCCGTTTTCGGCCGCCGCGGCCGGAGAGCACCCCCGTCGCCCCCGGGGGCCCGTCGACACCCCAGGGTGGTGAGAGTGCTCCTGCGCCGTGAGCAGCGGCACGGATGCACCGACAAACTTCGGGGTGGCCGTGTCGATGATAAGTCCAGTCATCTCGAAAACGAGCATGAGCTCGTCGACGAACGGGTTAATGTGCTCCTTCGAGGAGAGTGAGGCCGACGAGGGGAGCAGCTTGCGAAGATGCAAGACGCGCTGCACAGTAGCGCGCGTACGGATAGAGTTGAAAGCGTTGACCACGAGCACAGCGATCAGTGCAAGAGCCAGGCCGGAGTTCACCGCGGGTCCCTCGTACAGGCCCAGCGCGACCGCGGCGGCGCGATCGAGCCAACGAGCAACGTTTCATCAAAGCCTCAAAGGCCGCGGCAGCGGGACACCGCGTTGGATTTTTTATTTACTCCCTCTCTGAAAGTTTCCGCTTCTTGGCTGTTCTTCACCTTTCTACCTACCTACCTACCGCTTCACGGCCCGGGTGGCGATGGCGTCGTGGAGCCCAGCGAGAGCTTGCGCTGCAATGCCTGTATGCGCTGGTGCAGCTGGATGGCGGCGGGGCTGAGCTCCTCCTCCGCTGCACCCTCCACCGGCCCCTCCCTCGGCCCCCCCGCCTCCCCCCGCTTTATTGGCGACCCGCCTTCGAGCGCCGCCCCGGGCGACAGGTGGTCCGTTGGACGACCTTCCCGCCCCGACAGGCCCGGCTTGCGCGCGGCCGGCTCGGGGGTCACAAGCTCCGGCGCAGCGGCGGCGGCAGGGGCGCTCGGCGGCGGCGCGGGGCCGGTGCACCCCACCGAGTCGGCGCGGAGCGACTGCACGCTCGCGCGCAGCGCGGCCTTCTCGCGCTCGAAGGCAACCTGCGCCGGGGGGGGGGGGGGGGGGTCAGGGGGGGGTCTCGGGGGGGGGTGGGGGGGAGGGGGGGGGCTCTCCGGGAGGTTTGGGGGGGGTGGAGGGCTTTGGGGGGGAGGCACTTGGAGGGACCTGGGGGGGGTAAGGGTGGGGCCGGGGGGGGGTTTTAAACCGGGCCGGGGAAAAAAAAA